TTTCCTCTTCGTGGCAGCGTGCTTGTGATTCAAGTCTCCCAGCAACGCGTGCCACTATGCCTGTACCTCGACGAGGGCAAACTTATCAAGAAGGCCGAAGTCGGCGGTGTCATACGTGTGGGCAGATGTTCGAATTATCGTCCATAAAGCAACATTCAGCCCGTCCACATTATTGGTGCAGAGAGTCTTGCAATCGCTGGTTCTGGGGCCGCGCGGCGAAGTCGCATCCTCTAGCCTGCGGGAAATACAGGTGCAGACGTTGCGAATGCTCGTTTTTTAGGACTAAGGATGAATATATGAGACACGAGAAAAAGGACCATGAGAGGTGCCAGAATTGTGCAGTCGAATACCTTTCATCGGATCGGAATCACCATCAGCGCAATTGTTCTGGTCAAAGTAACCGGGTACCGACCCATTCTGCACCGTTTGACAAGGCTGTTTTGGATGTAGGGAGCGACTCTTCAGCAGAAGACATCATAAGGCAATACCAGCACAGAGCAATATCGGCGCTGGAGGAATTCAAAGCAATTGTAAATGACATTTGCTCTGCTGCAGAAGAAGGTACCCGAGAGAAAGAAGATTATGAGGAATATCGCCGCAATGTCCTGCATGGTGCGACTGTGGGCAAACCGATCACTGCAGTGGGCAAACCGATCACTGCGGAACAGTACCTTGGCCAGTATTCCGAGTCGGCTTACAGCCATCCCACAGACAACTTTGTCATCTGCTCATGGGAAGAGGCTCGAACAATCCTGGGTCGCGGTCCTTTGAAGCTCCCGCTTCTCATTCCCAGAGACTTGAACCACTCTGTTGGCGATAGACTGCGGCTTGAAGAGTACGTGAAGTATCTGAAGACTCGGCAGCAACTTGACGTTCACATTTATCGAAAACCTGCCGCTGAAGGAAGGATACCGAAGAGGTTAGATTCCGACAAGGCTGTTGAGCTCTTCCTCAAAGAGTCGAACGGACCCGTGAACCTCCTCGGGTTGGACGGGTACCAGCCGAACCCCGTGCACCCCAGCATATCAGGACTTCATTACTTTATTGACCTTTCGGCCATTGACGTGGGCGCAAGCGGAAGTCGTGAGGGGTTGAACAAGACTGCTACGTTCCAACTGTTGGGGAGCCTCGGCGCCATATCCACGCCTCACAATGATTTGTACGGAGTTTTGACCTCACAATGATCTGTACGGAGTTTTGACAATCTTCACAAACGAGGAAGGTGACAAACTCTGGCCTTTGTGGCCTGGATGGCAGCTCAAAGACCACTACGAGTACTGCTCGGCCGGGAAATACGCGAGTGCGGCAGTGGTCCTGGTTTTGGAAGAAGGCGACACGGGCTTGATGCCGGCCGGCCTTCTTCACGCACCTGGTACAAAAAAGCGTACCTTGATGACGGGCACCATGCACCACGACTGCCGAAATATTCTCCAGCAACTGGCGCTGACTCTCCTACAGCTGTGGTTTCCCCATCTCACAAACGAACCCATCACACCGGATTTCATCCCAAAAATGAGGCGGATCCTCGATCTCTGGGAGAATGGAGAGGGCAATTGGACATGGCCGGACAAGGGCCATCTGAAATGGGCCAGATATGTGCTCGAGCGCATACAGAAAAAGATGAATGAAACAGCGATGCGGAAAAAGAGACGACGCAGAAAGCGACTGCGTGAACCAGATGCTACAGGTTTCAAGGAGCTCGAGGAGATGATTCTCGTCATAGATACGATACTTTTGGGGTGAAGGGCCGATATCATGTTCGTCCCCGCATGCATACCTACAGTCCTGCGCTACTAAGCGATTCTTGTCTTTTCCTCCTTTGTATTACGTACTATGGTTGGTGCGAATAGGCAGAAGCAAATCAGCTCTGAAGACCGCTGATCACGACTGAGTACTTTGCTACCATTGTGATTGTAGTCCGTGACACAAGCCTGTCGAGTCATACTAGAACCTGAAAGTTATAGGGAGCCCATGGGCCGCAAGCGTCCTATAGACAAAGCCCTCCGAATTCTGAGGAAAACCTTATCCTCTATTGGCATCAATGGCTTCTAGTTTCTGTTGACGGATGAGGCAACTTCTGCTGATTTAAACGCACAGCAAGTTTTCCAATGCAGTAGCCAATGGCAACAGTATTCCGACAGTATTCCGACAGTATTCCGAAAGTATTCCGAAAGTATTCCGAAAGTATTAAATATTGATAATTGACTTTCCCGCGGTGTAGAAAAAAGAAGAATTTAATGAACTTGGGAAGAAATCGTAGATATCAATGCCTCAGAACGTAGTGTCTCAGTGTCTGCCACAATACGATGTTCAAACCAACTTTCCTACGCAGCTCTAGGAGCCGTTGCTGAAATGGCTTTACTCCCAATCCGAATCTTACTCTTGGACAAAGTCCCGAAACCCCCCAACAGAAGACCTGGACTGGGCTCTACTCCTCTTGAATCATTACCCTAAAGAATTATGAGGGTGTCTGTAACCCATGGTGTCACGTTACGAGATTCATACTTACATTTGCTTTGTTTACAATTTTTTTGCTCTTCCGACCTCGCTTCTTCATCCAGATTGTTCATACCATATATATTATTGTTGCAAAAGACTTCATATCTTCATGGTCTTTTAAACTTTCGATATCTGTGACTTTGTAGCGTCTAGAAATCATATCAAATCTGCTTGTTTAGTCAGCAGATTAAGCCTTACCGGACAACTCTACCAATGGACGCTTTTTGTTGGGGACTGCGACGTGTCTTTGGTCGTTGGCGGCCGCTCTGTATGTTAAGGCAGCTGCGGCTGCGCGTTACCTGGGTGCAAGGGCATGTACAGGGAAAGTTGGATACCGGTTGCTCAAAGCGCCACGCGGCTTGCTAACTGAGTGCAGTCGCACCACCCAGCAGGCCACCAAAGTCTAGGACAGCCACAAAACACTAAAACACATCAAAATCAAAATAGGTGTAAAACCGCGCCAGCTAAGTCACGGAGGCACTTAGTTTG